GTAATTTGGTTATTTTTGGAGGAGTTTGTTCTTATGGATAAAATATTTTAAAGTACGATTCTTTAAATAAAAAAAATTCAAAATTGAATTTATGGATCAAGTACATCAAAATTGAATTTATGGATCAAGTACTTTAAAATAAATTAAAAAATGATTTTATATTTCAAATTTATGGGGTATATATTTGAAATTGTTACCGTGGAGTCACATCATCAATGAATTTTAGCATTTGATGGTAAATCCTACGTAGTTTTCTGATTTCTTTTTTTTGGGTTCTTGGAATTGTTTGGGAAAAAATCCATTTAGCCTCAATCCATCATTTGGGTTGGACAAGTTACCATTGTATTTAGATCATATATTTGAGTAAGGATTTTTCAAGAAAATGGAAAGGGGAAGGAAAATATAAGTTAAATTTTTTTGTCACTTTCTCATTTTTATTTTCCCTTTAACAAATGCCTCCGTAAATTCAAGATTCAAGATCCAAAGACCTAAATCAATGCAAATTATCTTCAATCCAACTAAATAATCCGCGTTAATAGTAATATATAAATTTAGGATAAATTACACCAACCTCTCATAAGATTTTAAAAAAAAATAAAGTTTTACAGTTTTAAAATAATTACATTGAGCTCTATTGATATTTTAATTCATATAACACTTTAACTCTCTTTTCATCAATAATTTGTTAGTTATATGAATGAAAAAAATAATATATTATCTCTTTTACACAAAACTATATGTTATTACTTATTTTTCTATTTTTTGCACTATCTAATAGTTGTTTAGTATGTGCTTTATAAGTACACTTTTTTGCTTTTTGGTTACAAAAATAGAGGGAAAAAAAAAGATATATGTTTAAGATAATTTTTTAACAATTTATGAAAAGATGTGTAATAAAATATTATAGTAAAATCAAAATAATAATTTACCCTTTTGACTTTGACTTTTTGAGTAGTTAAATTCAAAAAATAAAATAATAATTTTGTCCTAATGGCTTCCCTATAAATTACTCTTGAATAGTATAGACTTTTAAACCTTTTTAGTAACTTTTTAATTTTTTGACTTTTTTAATTTATCCCAAACAAGGTAGATTAATTTTGGTTCATTTAACATTACTAAAATAAAAATCAGTATTATTATATCAAAGTTATAAAATTTACTGTATTTTTTAAAAATTTTAATAAAAATCAATATAATTTACTCATAAATTAAAATAAATAAACCCTAACTCACCCAATCCGTTGTTTCAAAACTATCACAATAACCAAATCAATCTGTCAGTTTTGAGGCCTTGTAACTTGACAGTAGGGATGGCAATTTGAACCCGGCCTGACGGGGACCCGACCCCCTGACTCCGAATTGAGCGGTTTTTCTTCGAAAAATACCCCCGACGGGCCGGGGATGGTATTTAAAAATAAATCCCCGATAATGTTCGGACCAGGGACGGGGATACAGTTTCCAACCCCGGCCCCGCCCCGGCCCCGCCCCCCGATTTTGTTCTTATATGTATATATGTACGTGTGTTGTCCGTTTATATATATATATATATATATATATTATATATATACGTGTGTTGTGTGTTTATTATTATATTATTATATATATGTTATTACATTATTATATCTATATGTGTGTTTGGTGCAAACATAACACAGAATGTATATGTATGGTGTGTGAGTTGGCAGGCACAACAAATAACACACAGCATCATTTGGTCTGGCATCTGGCCCCTTTCTCTCTCTTCTCTCTCACTCAGTCTCACTCTCTAACACAACCACAGAGCTCCCTCACCGCCGACTCATCTCCCTCTCACGGAAGGTATCTCCATCTCTCTCTCTCTCTCTCTCTCTCTCTCTCTCACGGATCTCCTTCTCTCTCTCTCTGTCTCTCACGGAATTCCTTCTCTCTCTCTTTTTTTTGCCTTTATTCTTCAGATCTGGAAAATGGTGGAGATGAAGATGAAAATGTTGATGAAGATTTGTTGGTGATGAAAATGATAAAAATATTTTTTGATCTGTTAGATCTGTTGATGTTGTCGTTGTTGTTGATGAATTCATTTTCTGGAGCTTTTTTTTTTTTTTTTTTTTTGGCCGGGATTTTCGGGGTCGGGAAAACCCGATCCCCGTTAGGGGGCGGTAGTGGGTTCCCCGTCGGGGATCGGGGCCGGGGACGGGGGAGTTTCTACCATCGGGGACGGGGACGGTGATCCCCGGCCCCGCCCCGCCCCATTGCCATTCCTACTTGACAGTATATTAAAAATTTTCCAACTCGCGAGGAATTATTTCATTAATTATTGCCCTCAAACCAATGTCCACACACTCTTAAAATACCCTGTGCTAGTGGCTGTGTAGAAACGTAGGCTCTGTTTGGTAAAATTTTTAAAATTTAATTCTATTCCTTACGTTGTGTTTGATTGGGAGATTCGAGGAAAATTTAGAAAGAGAGATAGAGAAAAAAATTGTGTAAAACTAGATGAAATATAGGCATATTTTATTCACATTTCACCTATCTTTTCAATTTCCCTTTTCAAATCCCTCTTCAAATTCCTCAATCAAACACAGTATTAGTTTGAGTGTGTTGTTTGATTACAGTTTTAGAAAATTAATTTCACACCTACTTTTCAAAACACTTTTCAAAACATCCATTTTTCAATATTACATGTCACATCACTCAATTCAAACTCTTTTTAAAATTCATAACCAAAAAAATCTTCTACACTCAAATCATAATTCTAAAACTCACAAATTTAAAATACAACTCTATTCTCAAATCATAATTCTAGAACTTTACCAAACGCAACCGTAATCTTTCACAATTTTTTAGGAAGTCATCAGCAATTTTGTCTAGTTAGTTCAGTTTTTTGTTTTTTTTTGGTTAGATTATAGAGAGTGCAAAAACAAAAAGGACTACAAAGCCAAACAGTATATGCAGCAGCAAGAAGAACTGAAGTAGTAGCTAGAGGACAGTGTTATGAGTTGTCTACACCAGCCCCCCATAGAACGTCACCAAGTTGTACTGAAACCTTTGAAAAGGCCCTAATCCTTCCAAAGTGGCTCTGTTGGTGGATAAGGGGGTTATGAATTCCTACCCATTTAGCTGAAAAACATTGCTGGTTTAAGTTGTATTTCAAGATATAATTTTTTTAACAAAAATTAAAATTTTATTTGATTCAAATTATAAAAAAAAAATTCAAAATTTTTTTCTTTTACACATCAATCAATTACTTTCTCTCTCACATATATCTACTCAATTATAACAAAATATCAAATTATCCCAAACTTTCAAACTCTCAAACTCTAAAACTATTTTCAAAATATACAGTCAAATAAACCAAAAACATTTTTAACCTCTCCCCAAATTTTTTTTAAAAAATGTATCTCAAAATACAAACCAAACACAGACTCCCTTAGTCTGCCGTTCGGTCCCTGCCACACTTCCACAACAGGACCCTAGGGTAAAAATTGTCATCCCTACTCAAAGGAAGAATTTTATGTAATGGATATACCACCCTTGCCAGAGTAATGAAGTACACCACAGTAATGATATACCCGTTAAATAAAATACAAACTTCAGCGACAATGGGAGTGTTTATAACTTTTGATTTTTAAAAAGTTATTTTAAATTATTTAGTTAAATTTATTTCAAATAACTTTTGATTCTAACAAATTATTTTAAGTTAAAAAAATTGATTCTAAAAAGTTGTTCATCCCTTACAGAACTGATTATGAGTTTTTGCTATGAACATGTTAATTTACAGTTATATTCTTAGATTTTTTTTGATTTTTTATTTTTTTAAAAAAAGAAAAAGACCCAAATAGATTATAGAATATTATTATTATTATGAGAAATGTAGACAAATAGTGAATAATAAAAATAAAAATTAATTGAAAAAATTACTTCACATATTATTTAACAAATACTACTCAGCAACTTAAATCTATTATCCAATAGTTACACTAAACAGATTAACAGCTTCTGATTAAAGTCATAATTTATAATCCGTTAAGCTATAATCTATTATCTATTTTAACAATTACACCAAACGGGGCAATGAATCCAAAAATTAGAGGAAAATCCTTACCCTATTGTTCCCTATTGTTGATGTACGGAGATCGAGAGGGAGTATTTTTTCTAGGGCAAATTACATATACACCCCTTCAGGTTTGGTTAAATTACAGATACCCCCTGAAGTTTCGGAAATTACATCCCGCCCCCTGAGGTTTCTATTTTCATAACAATTTACCCCCTGAGGTTTATATTTCATAACAAATTACCCCCTAATTTCTTATGGAAATATAGCATTCAGGGGGGAATTCGTAATTTCTCAAACCTCAGGGGGGTATCTGTAATTTTGACAAACCTGGAGGGGTGTATATGTAATTTGCCCTTTTTTCTATGGGACCAAATCCAAAGCATTGAAATAAAGATATAATAATGTAATTCTTTCATAACTATTTGTCATGAAGAACAAATGTTACGTTTATACGTAGACCTATCATATTTTTAGTAGTAAAACTCACCATGATGCCCATACAGAAGAGGTGAAGAGTTTCGACAAAATAATCCAATGATACATTGCAGCACCTAGGTATCATGAAAAGTCTTTTATGAAAATGATCCTGAAAGGCTTGTGACCTTTAGATTACACTTAGAATAAAACACCACACACTAATCAAAGTAATCTAAGGATCACAAATTTTTCATGACCATTTTCATAAAAAAAATTTCATGATCCCTAACATTTCTCAAATACAAATATAAGGTTCCTTTTTCGGTGGGAGCCAAATGATAACTCTCTTTTAAGGTTGATAGACAAATTGTCTTTCCTTCTTCGATTTATGAATAAAAAGCCATCAGTGTATAAACAACCCATGTTAGAATCTTTTAATATTGTTTTTTCAAATCTAAGTTCACATGGACAAAAATTAATATGCAAACTTTTAATACAGAACAGCACGTAAGTCAACTACAATAAAAGTATATCACAACAGCATCCAAGAAGTCCGAAAATTCTGAAGCTAACATGCAAACCAACCATATCACAGTAAATACCAATAGATCAATTTGGTTCCTTGTATCCCACAGAGATCAATATACTTGTTTTCAAAGAAGCAAAATTATTATCTACAGGTTGGTGCCAACAAACCAGGCATGTAGTTACCTTTCACAAGATTCGACTCACATCTTTTACATGAAGAGAAAACAAACATCTACGCCAAAAGATGAAGGGCAGAAAATGACCTTACTATCGAAGGTAGACTCTGAAAATTTCAGTTCCAGTAAAAAACTTGAAAGAAGAAGAAAGCTCCAGTCTAAATAGAGTCTTCAACCTGCTGTCGTGCAAGGTACCTTTCTCTTCTTTCTTTCTGAAACAACAAGAACGGAGGCGGAGGGAAAAAAATGAGGATTCTCTCAAAAAGTGAAAATCTACTAGGCAAGAATTCACAACTTTCAAAAGCTAGCTCACCCATTCATCTATGACAAGTCCTTCACCGATAATCTTTGGGCCTGTATCCTCTGGAGGTTTCTTGCGAGACTCAAGTGCAGCCTCAGCCTCAGCCAACTGCTGCTTAAGTTTTTCCAGAGCCTTGAAAGAATAAGTAGGCACAATAAATAAATAAAAAAATTAGCATTCTTTAACTACACATTCATGAGGTCAACAACACATGCACAAGCATGTGCACATCTATAATAACAAAGGGATGAATGCAAATGTACTCATATGTGGTGTGCAAAGATGTACTTACAGGTGTGGGACGCTCCACATCTAGAAAAACAACCCGTAATATCTGCTCTACTGCCGTTTGATCCTTCTGCTCATCAAACTGCAACAAAGACAACATTTGACCTTTTCATCAAAACCATCGAAAAGCGGATTCTATAGACAAATCTTCAGGGAGAGTTTTTTTTTTCTTTTTTTTTTTTTTTGCCTCCACTCCCTGGGGGGTTGTTGGGTAATCAATTTAGCAATTTGAGGAAATAAAAAAGAAAAGGAAACAAATAATGGATTGGAAGAAGCTCAGAAAACTCAATAGCATCCAACAAAATCAGTCAAACAAACAACTATTGAACTAAATCATTTGACTTGTAAAAACTATATTAGTTTCTCCTCATTCAAGAAAACCAGCAGTTGCTGCAATCAGAGAACTGTCAAAGCCATGCTCCCATCAAGGATGAGTGCTGTCCAATCCAATAAAGTCGAATTATAAAGCACAACAACTATTTTGCAAAGTAAAAGATAGAAGTAGAGCCAACTCTCGCATGTAAAAGTCATTCCCTATTCACGAGAACAGGCATTTCCAGTTTAATGAATGATTCCACCACTGGAAAACTCACTCTAGTCATAAAGCTTCACATATCTAAAGTGGGCAAGTTACTATAAAATTTGTAAGAAATTGAACATGAGCAAATTTTGTAACCAAATGTAACGCAATCAAAATTGAAGCACCAAGATTGAAAACTTCAACAATTCAAAATATTTTCCCCATCATGTGATTTAATATTAAAATAAGCAGCAGAAGCAATAAGAAAGGTGTGTGAGACGCACTAGTTCAGGCGCATAGTCCATCACTCCTTTCACCTTAAGGCTCATAATCTTAAACTTCACTTTGCTCTTCTGATCCAATGGCTTTTCGTTGTTCTCTGGAGGCTCCACAAACTTGAATACTAGCAGATCCAACCAAAACCAAGAAAAGAAATTTGTGTAAAATTGACTAAAAAGAGAAAGACAAGAAGAAATACATTGCATTCTGCATGTACATCACTTCTGTCTGTCATGTACAAAAAACATATTTTAACCAAAACATAAAAGAAAGCATAAAATTATACAAGAATTAGTACCAGTTGCTATGAGACTTTCGCCAGGAGCAAGAATAGCCCCTGGAGGACGCATGAAACAGCTTTTTGGTGCAGTTGTTTGAAACTAAAGCAACAGAAGCAAACAATCATCAGTCAGGTAGAAAGAAAATAACAAATATTTAACTACAGTATGATAATTATGTCACACGGTTCATTTCAAAGCAATGATTTAAAGGAACATCTATATTCCACTCATATTTCTATCTTCAAGAACCTACCAGCATCTGAAAACCATAAATTGAGGATCGGAAACAAATTACAACTTGTTGGCCATACCTTAAAAGCTACATGAGACTTGCTTGTATTTTTAATCCTGATAGCACTCTGCACTTGCTTACCAGGTTCATCTTGAAAAGGATATATAAGTAGAATAAATAAACTGTTAGAAGTGACGAACAAATCCAGTATCAAGGTAGCATATATATTAAATTAGAAGCTCAACATTTCCAACACCAAAAAGAATGTGTTGCTACACTCTCACCCCACCTACACACGCATACTCTGTGTGTGTATGAGAGAGAGAGAGAGAGAGAGAGAGAGAGAGAGAGAGAGCATATTTTCATAATCAAATACATAAGCGTTCACATGAAGAATGTGTCAAAGGAATGGCCCCAAAAAGCAATTAAGAGACAAACAAGTGAAACGACATTTCTACATACTGACAGAAACATACAAATTGATTAGAGCAATCAAAACAGAGGAAAATTTAGACAATAAAAGTGACAAAATATTGACAGAGGAAAAACAAAATCTACAAAATGGAGAGATCAACCCCAGGCAAAATGGATAGAAAAGAGACGATTTTCAAAATTAACAAATCTAGGCAGGATGAAATAGATAATCCAAAGTAGTACTTAAATGCAATAATGCAAATCAAGAGAAAAGTCTCAAATTGGAGGCTGAGGAGATAAGAATTCATTCATCATACACAGAACAATTTGCATTGTTCCTAGCATCATTTCAACTATCCATGTTTCATTGACGAGTTAAATCCCAGTAAAAAGCACCAAGGAGTGCAACCCATGCACCTGGAGTGGAGTATAATTAACCAAATAAATCATGAAACAGATGTATACAGAAAACAGTTCAGGAAAATGAGCTAAAGCTAGCACATGATTACTACGTGTAGACCCCATTGAATAATCACCTAATCCTCTCCTTATACACACACTAAAAAAAAACAGACATAATAGCACTGGTCATGTTGGATGAATGCGAGACATCTCCTCCAACTATATGGTAGTTTTAATGGTAGTGCTGCCAGTTTTGTACAAAAGCAAAACGAAGCATTGCAGAGAACCCAAAGGGCAACCAAACAGAAAACCCTAGCCTCGTCAAAGTTCACTGTTGATATCAAAAAATACTAAGATAGATCCACATTATCTGATGAACCTTTCTTGTATTACACTGTTTCAATGAGTCCATCCTTGCCAAGTTTGGCTTTTCAGCAACCAAACCAAACAACATCCAAATATAAAAGCTTCAGTTGAAACACCTATTTCGAATGCAGCTGAGCAATAAAAGATGTAGAAATTTGAAACTTCCAACATAATTTTGCATGAAAAATTATCATAACTTCTGTTAGTGTATATGCTTTATGCTTTAAGTTAGTGTACCTTTCGACCACTTTCATAATTGTTGTCTAGAATCTCTCTTATATATAGAAGCCATTGTACATTGAATAAATATAATAAATGAGATACATATTTCTCTCTCTCTTTCTCTATACATTAATCTAACATGGTATCGAAGCTATAAGATTTAGGCCTGTATTTCTTTCTCACCGGTGGGCAGTCGGTCGGCAACGTTGCCTTCGCTGCCTGCTGGACTTTGCTACACATACCTTCACTCCGCTGCATCTTCTAGCACTTTCTTCCCAAATCTTAAGGAACTAAATATTGAGCCTACCACTAACCAAAACACAAAATACAACATAGTGAAAGGAAAACAAAGCAAGAAGCAAGAACCATCCCAAATGCACCCTTTTATGTAGAAGACTGTAGAAGACTTTGGTGGTGCACCAAGGAGGCGACTTAGGGAGTGCACCATGGAGTGGCTTGGGTGGTTCACAAGGTGTATAACCATGCTCACCATGATACTGTATAATACCCCGCCCCAAACTCAAAGTGGAGCATAAATGCTCAACACAGAGTGAAATGGGTTAGAAAATAGGGTTGTGGAGGGGAACATAGATGTGATAAATGGATTAAAAGAAAAACATAAATAAATAAAAGAAGAAAAATAGAATGGGTTTGAAAATACGGCGTGGGAACAAGTAGTAGGATGGATGGATTTAAAAAGATAAAGATATATATAGTGGGGAACAAGCATATGATATAGGTGGATATATATATGAAATTTTTTTTTTTTTTTTTTAAGGTTTAAATAAAAGAAAGAGTTGGTGGACAAGGTGTCAAAAAAGGAAATGGTGGAACAAAAGGTGGTGGATGAAAACATGTGAGAGCATATGGTTTTGTGCATGATAGGTGGTGATATTATGACAATGTGGATGATGGGGGTGGAAAGTTGACATGGTGGGATTGGGAGAGTGGGGTGTAAAGTCAAGTGTTGATGAGATAGAGATGTTGGTTTGAGAAAAGAAATAAATAAATAAAGAGTGTGATGATGTATATGGAGAAAGGGATAAATCTGAGAGAGAGAGAGAGAGAGAGAGAGAGATATTAGATTTAAGAGAGAATGAGTAAAAAACTCATCAAGGACATGTTGACTGCCAAGGCCATGTTGACTAAACAAATGATTAGAGAGAGAGTAGTAACAAAGACTAGTCTAGAACAACAAAGACTAGCCTTTCTCAACACCAAGCTTCCGACCACCATCTTCATGCACTTCAACTTCTCTGCCCCACTCTGATCTGAGAGAGCTGGACCGGGCGAGATCGAGTCAGAACTCGGACCAGGGCTTCGCTCGGCAGTGCAGGAGGGCTGAGCATCTCTGAAGACGGTGCTGGCGAAGGTGTATTGTGCTTCTTCTTAGTCTTCTTCTTGCTCGGAGCCGGCGATGGAATAGCCACAGCTCGAGGAACAACAACTGGCGCGGTGGTCGAAGAAACAGCTAGCATGGTGACCGGAGCAGTAGCAGGAGGAGAGCTTATCGGAACCAGAGCCGGTGGCGAGCTAGATCATAAACAAAAATCTTATCTTTAAGAACAAGATCTCCTAAAATAGTTAGTCCTTGATACTGAACTTTCTGAAAGCCAATGCACCACATTGCAGCACCATCAACAAAACCATAATGTATAAGGTAGTCTTCTGGTCTTAAAACCACAAATGCACCACCAACAAAGTTTAAAGCAACGGGAGGAAATATCTCAAATATACTGGTGGGTACTTGATAACATTGGTTTCCTTTTGAAATGAATAGCACCACAGGTTGTGAAACAACAGCAGTTATAGCATTAACAAAAGGATCATAAGCTTCTTCCACCAGGTACGACAAAGTTGTTCTAGAATCAACAATGGTTCATCGAGTATTTGCAAACACTGCAGTATCAATAGGCAACAATTGGCCATTGACAGCAATGCTCAAGAACTACTGTACCACCACCATTGCCCTCTCCCTTCAAGCAATGGGAGAACACCATAGAACTAAACCTCGTGATGACAGTTGTGATATGACAGAGAGATCCTGTTGACCAAACCCAATAATCCCATGCTTGGAAAGAGGGTGTTGGAAGATGCAGCGGAGTGATAGGAGCAGGGGCCCTCAGTCCAAGGAAGCTTATAGGATCATTAAGATCTAGAAAGAGGGTGAGAGGGCCACGAGAAGAGGCCATGCCAGAGGATGCAAAAGAAAGAGGTTGCAGATTGGGTCGTAGCTTTTTTTTGCTCTGCCTCTCTCACCGGCCTCAGTTTAAAAAGAGAACAAAGAGACGAAGACAACAAAGAGGGAGCGAAAGCCAAGGCAATCGTTGCAAATTAGGGAGCGTCTAGCTCTGTTGGTCACGTGAATCGCACGCCGGATACGACGCTTGAAGCCGCGTGTCAGGCGCAAACTTTCGAAGGCGAGATATATATATGTATATCTTTGTATGTATATATACACGACCATACAGCGTCATTAAGATTTGAAAAGAGATTGTTGAAAGATGCAGCAAAGTGAAGGTATGTGTAAAAAAGTCCAGCGGGCAGCGAAGGCAAGGTTGCCAACCAACTGCCTGCCGATGAGAAAGAAATACAGGCCTAAATCTTATAGTTTTGATACCATGTTAGATTAATGTATAGAGAAAGAGAGAGAAATATGTATCTCATTTATTATATTTATTCAATGTACAATGGCTCCTATATATAGGAGAGATTATAGACAACAATTATGAAAGTGGCCGAAAGGTACACTAACTTAAAGCATAAAGCATACATATACACTAACAGCCCCCCTCAAACTCAAGGAGAATAGGTACTAACCAACATGAGTTTGGAGAGAATAACAAAACAAGAAAATAAACTAAAAAAAAAATAAAATAGGAGGCATTGTATGGTCATGTCAGACCGTTGTAGAAGACACTGTATAGTTGTGGCAAATCGATATAGAAAACGCTGTATGGTTGTGTCGGACCGTTGTCAAAGACATTGTTTGGTGGTGTCGGTGTAGAATACACTGTATGGTTGTGTTGGACTGCTGTAGAAGATACTGTATGGTTGTGTCGGACCGTTATAAAAGACATTGTGTGGTCGTGTCGATGTAGAAGACACTACATGGTTGTGTCAAACCGTTGTAAAAGACACTGTGTAGTCGTGTCGGACTGTTGTAAAAAATACTGTGTGATCGTGTCGGACCGTTAGAAAAGACACTGTATGGTCATGTATATATACATACAAAAAGATATACATATATATATATATCGCCTTCGAAAGTTGCGCCGGACACACGACTTCGAGCGTTGTGTCTAGCACGCGCGCGCGATTCACGTGACCGACAGAGCTAGATGCTCCTTGATTTGCAATGATTGTCTCTGCTCTCGCTTCCTCTTTGTCGTCTCCGTCTCTTCGTTCTCTTTTTAAACCAAGGCCGGTGAGAGAGGCAGAGTAAAAAAAGTTACAAACCACTCTGCAACCCCTTTCTTTTACATCCTCTAACATGGCCTCTTCCCGTGGTTCTCTCACCCTCTTTCCAGATCTTAATGACCCCATAAGTTTCCTTGAACTGAGTGCCCTTGCTCCTACTCTTCCTAACCTTCCTACGCTGTCAGTCGAGCAAATAATGACAGCTCAATCTAACATTGAAACTAACCACTGAACGCTGAAGTCCTGTATGGAGACAGTGGCTACGGTCTCCAATTTGTCTCACCGACTGCAGAACAGGACAAATGAGGTACACCAATTAAACGCCCAAGTTTCGCTGCTCCAACGTATGTACAAGGATGCGCGAGCAGAGATTAGGGCACTGAAGGCGGAAAATAAAGAGCTGAAACGGAAAGCCACCGTCATGGTCCGATTCAGAGTGCCGGCGTACTCTGCTGTTGATAATTAGCAGGGAATCAACTCGCTCGACGGTCTTGAAGGCACTGAGGCAGGGCCTTTAAGGGTCTCCCAAGACGAAATCAAAAGGAAGAAATCGGCAACAGAGTCGAGTAAGTGAGGTCGGCACACGGCTGTCAGAAAGAAAAAGCCCTCTATTTTTATTTTTATTTTTTTATTTTTTTTGTGTTGTGTTGTGTTGGTTGTTGTTTTGAATTTTGAACCTGAAAATGGCTACATTTTGATGAAGTCTGAACTAAATATTGAGTCTATCACTAACCAAAACACAAAATACAACTCCGTGAAAGGAAAACAAAGCAAGAAGCGAGAACCATCCCAAACGCACCCTTTTATATAGAAGACTGTAGAAGACTTTGGTGGTGCACTAAGGAAGCGACTTAGGGAGTGCGTCATGGGATGGCTTGGGTGGCTGGTGTATAACCATGCTCAACATAAAGGGATTTGGAAAGGAAAAAAAAAATACATGTGAAATGTGAACAAAATATAGTTATATTTCACCTAATTCACACATTCCCTTTCCCTTTACAAATCTCACCCCAAATCACTCAACCAAACATAGGCTAAAAGAATCCAGAAACTAAACTTTTGAACACACATAAACTCCAATTCTAATTTAAAATCGTGGATTACATTGTATCAAACGCTACATAAATGGAAATGGTAAGCATTTTTTGGAAATCACCTGACCATCTATTCTCACTACATTCCAACTCATCACACACAAACACATAAATTTAAAATTAAAAAAAATTTAATAATACCAAAACTTCAAAAATTAAAAGAGTATTTCCCTTTAATTATAAACAAAAAGACGAAACAAAACCTCGCGAGCCACATCAATTCAAACACTATTTCCAAATTATTTTTTTTTTTTTTAAGTTTAAATCAATTTAAACACTATTGTCACAATGCTGAACTTAATTAATCTTATTGCACTTACCATTTCACTACTCTCTCCTCCAATTTTTCTCACACTATTTACCAACTCATTACCATGCCTTAGACCTCCTTGAGCCATGACCACATCAATATTCCCAATTAAATCATCAACAAATACCCATTTTTCTTGCAAAATTGAACACATCAGTAAAAAAATATGGGAAATTCAAAACCACATACTCTCGCTCTAAAATATAAAATAAAAAAAAAAAAACAAACTAATTTCCCCCAAATCACCAATCAATTTACAATTACGAACAAAACCACTATCGATCAAGACGAGGAGGAATCACATACAAGGGAAGTAGAGCTTGTTCGAAGGGTCGAGGCGAAGACGACGTCGTGTTGGAAGAAGAGATCTGGCAACAGAAGAGACCGAGCTCAAAGAGCCGTTGTTGTTGTTGTTGTTGTTGTTGTGAGGATTCAAACCCTCGACCTGTGAGTTCGTCTGATGACTCTGATGGTGTTGAACGTTGCTAGACGACGTCGTATTGCTCGAATTTCGAAATGGTAGCTTAAACAAACCTAAGATTTTACCTTCCGACGGTGATTTCTCGTCGGCGACTGGCATCGGAAAATGAGATAATACGTCACCGTTTTGACTTTCAGACTCTGTGTACGTCTCTGTCTGATAATTTTTGTATTTTGGGAGGTTTCGGCGTCTGACTTTTCAGGAAATGGTAACGGACACTTTTTTAGAGAGAGGGGGAACGGTGGAGCAGTTCGGATCTGAAGAAGGGGATTTAACTGGATTGAATCGGTGGGGGTGACGTCCGCACATGGTGACATGACATTTTGTACTTGATTGGCGGGGGCAATAAGTGAATAAGGGCGTGTTTGCTTGGTGAAGGAATTGTGTTTTTTTAGTATGGATTGGTCTGCTTTGAATTACTTTCATACATTTAAAAAGATAAAAAGTAATTTTGTATCAGGTGAGATAGGGTTAATTTTAAAGTCAAACAAACCAAAATTTGAAGTTTCTGGTGCTTCATAATAAAGGCTGGTTTAGCGAGTGTAAAAAAAATTAAAAAATTATCACTATTTGTTAAAAAAATATAAAAAAATTAATATATAAATATTAAATACAAATTAATTTTTTTTTCTATTAATGTATTGACGTCAGGCCAGTTTCAGACGGTTTAAAAAAAAAATTTAAATGTGTACATTCATTAAGTTTGATGGTAAAGTTGGGTTCGTTGGGGCCCATCATGGGTCCCGTTTTGATAATCTGAACCGTTCAAGATGTAGAACTAGTTTAGCACTATAAGTTTGTAAAAAATTAAGTCTATCGGATATCGCTAATTATATGATCAAATCAGTTTTGTATAAAAATTAGATGGTGTTATAGTTAACAGTTAATAAAAAAAACTAACACGATCAGATAGCTATCGATATCCAATCAACGTGTTTTTTTATAAGCATATTGTACTCAACGAGTTCTACACATTGAACGGTTCCGATTAGAAAAATTGGACCCGTATGGGGCCCCACGGGTCGAACAATACCGTCCAATCAAAACCCAAAAATGAGGCAATTTTTTCCCATATATTCACCCAGTCGACTAACTGCCAATCTGTACGGTGTACTACACTATCTTCTTCTACATACTTATTTATATAATTTTTTAACATACATTTTTTCATAAAAAGTCAAAAAGTTAACTCAAAACATCCATATTTTTTCCTCAACTTTTTAGTCCAAAAAGATAAAAAAATACACTTATTTAGGACACTTCAAACAGCTCTTAAATGATCAAATGAAACTTTTTATAAAAAAAGAAAGTAAAATTTTGTAAATTTTTCAATCATTTCATCAAGCATATTTAGGGGTTGTTTGGAGTGTCCTAAATAAGTGTATTTTTTATCTTTTTAGACTAAAAAGTTGAGGGAAAAAATATAGATGTTTGGGTTAACTTTTTGACTTTTTATAGAAAAATGTGTATTAAAAAATTGTATAAATTAGTGTGTAAGGAAAAATTAAGATTGGAAGTTGTGTAGCCATACTTTTTGACTTTTTGTGAATAATGATAATTTTTTAATTTTTTGAGTAACTTTTTAAATTTTTAACTTTTTTTCAACTAGTCAAACTTAGGGGTTGTTTGGGGTGTCCTAAATAAGTGTACTTTTTATCTTTCTGGACTTAAAAATTGAGGAAGAAAATATGGATGCTTTGGTTAATTTTTTGACTTTTTATAAAAAAATGTGTAATAAAAAATTATAAAAATTGATTTGTTGAAAAAAATTAAAATTAAAAATTGTACAGTCATAATTATTGACTTTTAATAAATAGTGTTAACTTTTTAAATAACTTTTTAATTTTTTAACTTTTTTATAATATGACAAACTTGGCCATAGACTTAATTATCTGATCTATAAATTTCAAAAAAATATATTCGAAAGTCTACGTGATTCCGTTTATATATATATATATATATATAATAAATTACATTGACTTGTTGATAATTTATGGCAATTGTACATATTTTTCTTTTGTATTAATTTATATCAACATTATTCTTTTTCTTTTTCTTTTTCTTTTTCGTTTCCGCGTGATCATTTATTATTGTGTTTACTAAAAGAGTAATCTGTTAACGTTTTCATTTTCATTTAAAAAACAAATTCAAAATTAAACCAAATAAATTTTCGTACTTTTTATCTCAAAAACATGTTTCTCAAATACAAACTAAATAAATCCAATATTATTTTTATTTTCAAAAAAATAAAATTAATTCCAAAATTTTTAAAAATATGATAATTGTGGATTTATTTATTTTCAAAATAAATTTTCACTTTCCCCTCTTTTCCCCAACACTATTCACCCACCCAATATCGCCACGGACCACCGCAACCCCCCACCAGTCAATCAATTGTCAGCAACCTCTAACAACCTGTAAAGTTATTATTTCTATGACCAATCATTTACCACCATGACCTTCAGCAAACCTTTTCAGCTATTTCGTGAACCTAGACAACCTTCGGTGGCCTTCAACGAGTACAGATCCTCTCCTTGCAAAGACTTACAAGCATGCGTCCTTGCAACGGCTGAGATCAGCCGTTGCACATCCAACGGCTGAGATTAAAAAAAAAAAAAATTCCAATTTCTATTCTATTCGTTCCCGCCCAAAACAAAACATAGAGTTGGTCTGAACTCGTGGGAAAACACATACTCATTGAACACAGTCAGTGGTTCTTGTCCGAACGGCGACTGAACGGCGACCCAATACCGGCGGCGACCCAGTGTACCCAGTCTCCACGCCGTTGCAAGGACCGACGACGCCACAGGTCAGTTCCCCTTTGCCTCTGTAAATCAGAAATTAATGTATATCAAGCTTAATACTGTACTACTCTCCAGACTTACTCTCTCCAGACTGCTGCGTTTTGGTCTTATGAAGCTTAATCTTAACAGATAGGTTCATTGATAAAAAAATAGTAACGGCGTAATGGAAATGAACCTTAACGGCGTAATGGAAATGAACCTTAACGGCGTAATGGAAATGAACCTTAACGGCGTAATGGAAATGAACCTTAACGGCGTAATGGAAATGAACCTTAACGGCGTAATGGAAATGAACCTTAACGGCGTAATGGAAATGAACCTTAACGGCGTAATGGAAATGAACCTTAACGGCGTAATGGAAATGAACCTTAACGGCGTAATGGAAATGAACCTTAACGGCGTAATGGAAATGAACCTTAACGGCGTAATGGAAATGAACCTTAACGGCGTAATGGAAATGAACCTTAACGGCGTAATGGAAATGAACCTTAACGGCGTAATGGAAATGAACCTTAACGGCGTAATGGAAATGAACCTTAACGGCGTAATGGAAATGAACCTTAACGGCGTAATGGAAATGAACCTTAACGGCGTAATGGAAATGAACCTTAACGGCGTAATGGAAATGAACCTTAACGGCGTAATGGAAATGAACCTTAACGGCGTAATGGAAATGAACCTTAACGGCGTAATGGAAATGAACCTTAACGGCGTAATGGAAATGAACCTTAACGGCGTAATGGAAATGAACCTTAACGGCGTAATGGAAATGAACCTTAACGGCGTAATGGAAATGAACCTTAACGGCGTAATGGAAATGAACCTTAACGGCGTAATGGAAATGAACCTTAACGGCGTAATGGAAATGAACCTTAACGGCGTAATGGAAATGAACCTTAACGGCGTAATGGAAATGAACCTTAACGGCGTAATGGAAATGAACCTTAACGGCGTAATGGAAATGAACCTTAACGGCGTAATGGAAATGAACCTTAACGGCGTAATGGAAATGAACCTTAACGGCGTAATGGAAATGAACCTTAACGGCGTAATGGAAATGAACCTTAACGGCGTAATGGAAATGAACCTTAACGGGTAAAAAATATGGACAAATCTGTTAAGGTTGATTTCCAATCTGTTAAGATTAACCTATCTGTTAAGATTAAAAAAAAATAGATAAAAAAATTAATGGGCAAATGTGTTAAGAGACAAAATCTGTATTTGAAGATCTACAGCTTGAATATTCAATCAGTTTCTGTATTTTAAGATTTTAATCAGTTTCAAAATCTATTTAATTAGTTTCAGTATTTGAAGATTACTTTTAATGGACAAATGTGTTAATTTATTTTGTGTTAAACCACAGATTTTGAAATCACAGATTTTACTTTTAATTCAAAATCTGTGTTAATGAAATCAATAGGGTATGTTACCACGTGGTTATGTAATCAACATTTAAAATTTGTGAGTATGCTAGTAGCAGATCCTCATCAAAATTGCCTATTTTTAATTCAACATTCAAAAATTGTGAGTATGCTAGCAGCAAATCCTCACTCATTCATTGTTATGTAATCAATAGGGTTTTTAAATATGTCCAAAATTAATTCAACATCTGCACTATCTGCACTCTATTTTATTTCTAACACAGATTTTGAAATATAATTGATCTGCACTCTATAAAGTAAATATGTTGAATTGATTTCATTGGTGTAACACAGATTTTGAAGATTACTCTATTTAATCAGAGGTTTGCCAAATGATTTTGTAACATAAGTTATTTAATCAGTCATGTGAACAGATAAGGTGTTTACTGGAATGTGATGAATTTTTTATTTATGTAGCTAAGATTTTATTTATATGGGTTTTCAGTTGCATTTTCATATGGATATGGAACCTGAGAATGATTGTGCTTGGAAGCCAAAACAGGGAATGACATTCGATTCTGAACAATGTGTGTATGATTTTTATAATACATATGGAGGAAGAATGGGGTTTAGCATAAGAAGGGATTTCTGTAGGAAGAACAAGATCAATAACCAACTTATTTGTAGACTTTTGGTTTGCAACAAGGAGGGATTTCGGAAGGGTGACAAACGAGACCCATTGTCAAAAAACCCAAGAGCTGAAACTAGGACCGGTTGTGAGGCTCGACTTTATGTCAAATTAGATGAGGGTACTGGGAAATATGTTGTCACTGATTTCAAAGAAAAACACAACCATGATCTTGTATCACCCGAGTGTGCCCACATGTTGCCGTCACAAAGAAAGATATCGACTACCCAAGCAATTGAGTTAGATTTGGCGGCACAATCTGGTCTTCGTTTAGGCCAGTCTTTTGAACTCATGGGTAGGGAAGCTGGTGGGAGGCAATGTCTTGGGTTTACAAAGTTAGATCAGAAAAATTATTTGAGAACCAAAAGACAACAAAGTTTAGCATATGGGGAAGTAGGCAATGTATTGCAATACTTTAAAGAAAAATCTTTGCAGAATCCTTCCTTCTTTTATGCTTTCCAGTTAGATAATGAAGAGCAAATAACGAATATGTTTTGGGCTGATGCACAAATGATCATGGATTATGCCCAATTTGGTGATGTTGTCACTTTTGATACTACTTACAAGTTAAACAAAGAACATAGACCCTTCGCGTCTTTTGTGGGATTCAACCATCATAGGGAAACAGTTATATTTGGTGCAGCCTTGCTGTATGATGAGACCGCCGAATCGTTTGTATGGTTGTTTCAAAATTTTCTACAGGCTATGTCAGGAAAGGCACCAAAAACGCTGTTCACTGATCAAGATGCTGCAATGGCTAAAGCCATACCCATCGTTATGCCGGACACAAGTCACCGTTTGTGTACTTGGCATTTGATGCAAAATGCATTAAAACATGTTAACTGTTTGTTCCAAGATAAGGGGGCAAAAGGTGTATTAAATAAGTTCTTTACTTTGACATTGAAGAGTGCAATCAATGGAAGTTAGCGTGGGCAGAAATGCTTTGAAAATATGATGCGCATGAAAACCATTGGTTAAAATTGACATTTGCGGTGAAAGAAAAATGGGGTGGCCATATGTTAGATCAACATGGGCTGCGGGAATGAGTACCACACAACTTAGTGAATCTTTAATGCTTTTTGAAGGATTACATTCGTTCTGATTTTAACTTAAATGAATTCTTCATGCATTTCGAAAGGGTACTTTACGAGAAGCGATACAAGGAGTTAGAAAGCAGGATATGCTTTGTGCCAAAGGTTGCCAAAGGTGAAAGCAACAATAAGAATTTAATTCAAATGGGTAATGTTTACACAAAAAAGATATTTGAAGAATTTCAAAATGAGTACTTTCGATCAATTGAATCGGACATAGAAGCAATTGAATATGGCGAGGCTAGTACATTTACACAGTTGTTGATGTTGGTAACAAACATGCACGGAAGTGAAGATGGAGAGGGATGGGTCATTGTGTTGTAATTGTACAAAGTTTGAAAGGGAAGGAATCTTGTGTTGTCACTCATTGAAGGTTATTAGAGACATATTGAAGATGAAAGAGGTTCCTCCACAATACATTCTAAAGAGGTGGACGAAACAAGCAAGAGCCGAAACTGTGAAGGACATTAAGGGGAATGACATTCAGTGGATGTGAAATTCCAGCAAGCCTCGCGGTATAAGACATTGATGACCGCATTTAGAGCACTAGCAAGTAGAGCTGCTGAAACTGAAGAAACTTATGATTTTTGTGTTGCACACTTGCTACATTAGGTGCAAATATTGAAGGCAAGTTAGGTGCTTTTTTGGTGCTGGAAATGAAGTAAGTAATGATCATGACCCCCAAAGCTTTGAAGTGGATTGCGAAGATGTGAATCATGTTGTTCAACCAAAAAGGATTTAAGAAAAAACTGGCAACTAGTAAGGGCAAAAAGGAGGGTAAAAGGTGGATTCGAAGTGGCGTTGATAGCGAACTCCAAAAAAAAATCCCGTGCTAACAGCTTCGCTTCGTCACAATCTATTGCAAGTCCAACAGTTGCACCTTCTCCATTATCTGTTGGAGGAGAGATCTATTGTTCGTCAACAGTTCCTCCTCTTCAACCTCTTCCTCCCCGTCGTCATTTTCCTCCATCTTTGCCCATGGGTGGTAATTCTATTCCTCCGTCATTGATAAATCCCACATATCATGTAAGTATTAGTACAATATATGTATGTTTTTTTATGGATATAATATGTGACTCAACCCGTAATTGCGAAGCGTAATATATGACATTGTTCTTTGCCAATTTGCAGGACATGTACGTAGTGCATAATTCAGTGCCAAATTTAATGCCGCAACAGTATCCTGCTGAACCAACATTCCAGTCACTACTTCAAGGTTCATATGGATATGACATTGGGTTTCGATATTCTCAAAATCAAACAGTCCAATGTGGAGTCAGGTTTGTCGTTGATGTGTTTTGAATCTGTTGCTGAAATTTGTATTTGAAGTAGCTTTTTTTTGAATTTTTTTTTTCCAATTAAATTCTGTGTTTCTCCATTTCAGGCCATGGACAAGCACAAAGACAAGCAAACTGCAGATGAAAATGGCATGCAAAGTGAAGTGATACCATCTCAATTGTGAAGCAAACTCATGCTGAATTGGTGCACAAATTTTGATGTTGCTCAGAAGTGATTGAAATTGCTGTTCAAACTCCACTCCAATGCTGTTGAAATTGTGTTAAACATGTGTGTTCAAACTACTGTTGTATGTGTGTTGAAATTCTGATTTAGTTTAATGAGAATGCTTGTGTTAAAATTCTGATGGTATGTTCATGGCTTGTGTGACTGCTGGGAATGGTATGCTAATGATAGAACCAAATGTGCCATAACATGTGTTGCATCTCAAATTGTGAAACAAACTATTGGTTTGGTCTGGTTCGTATGCCATCAAATCTGTGAACAAACAAACTGGCATCTCAAATGTGCCATAAGACATGTAGGTTCTATTGATAACATTATTGATAACAGATAAAACAGATAAGAGAGGTTCTGCTATGTTCTAGTCTGGTCTGGTCTGGTTTCGTATGGTCTGGTCTGCTTCTGTTCTGAATCTGCACTCAACAATGCTGTATTGGTTTGTGATTGTTTTGAAATAGTAACACGATAGGTCATGATAACCTAATTGAACATAACAGAAATCATATAAGGGAGTATGCTGGTCTGTGTGGTCTGCATCTGCATCGGTTGCTAGTCTGCATCTTCTACTCTGGTCTGGTTCTGCTCTGCTATGGTCTGCATGTGCTACTCTGGTCTGGTCTGGTCTGCATTTGCTACTGTGGACTGGTCTGGTCTGCATCTGCTATAGTTCAACACAACACCTTGATACAATTCAAAATAGTATATAATAGCATAAATAATGGTTTTGTTACACAACAAAAAGGTATCAGATAGCAACAATACTGTTTTGGCACTAAAATAATATCAGATAGCATAAATAATGGTCTGCTTTGGTCTGCTGGAATGGACTGCTCGGTCTGAATCTGCATCTGTTGTGGTCTGCATTTGCTAACTCTGCATCTTTGTGGTCTGCATCTGTTGTGGTCTGCATTTGCTACTCTGCATTTGCTACTCTGCTGGTCTGGTCTGCATCACTGTTCTGGTTCTGGTCTGCTTCGGGTCTGGTCTGGTCTGCATCATCTACAGATAATAACAGATAACAGATACAAGATAATAGTAATGGTTCAAATGCCATACATTAATGGTTAATCTAAACAGATAATAAGATAACAGATAACAGATAATAACATTCATTGATAACAGATACAGTAATGGTTCAAATGCCATACATGGTTGGTAACACAAGCTGTCTTGGTTCCATCATTCATTGATAACAGTAATGGTTCAAATGCCTATCATGGTTGGTAACAGAGCTGTCTTGGTTCCATCATTCATGTGATAACAGATAAGATTTCCATCATTCATAACAGATAATATGGTACATTCATTGATAACAGATAACATTCCATCATTGGTTCCATCATTCATTGATAACAGATACATTCCATCATTCATTCATTCATTCATTCCAAAATATGCCAATACTCATCCAAGCATAATAGATAATTCATTCATTCATTTGAAAATGTACCATACTTCATTCCAAAATTCATTCCATTCATGCATTCGAAAATGTACCATACTTCATTCAAAATTCACCATTCATTCATTCGAAAGTTGAGGCCACAAGTTGAGGAAAATAGATAATAGATAACAAGCTAACAACTTCATGTACATACAAGCCAAAATGCTACAAACTTCCAAGTTACATCATAAAGTAGAAAATCGTAGCAAATACAATGAAGTACACCATCGCTTTGATATTCCTTTCCATCCTTTGAAGCCTTCGACCATAGTTCGTTTCCATGGAATGAAGCCTCGTCCTGACATCGTTAAAGTCTTGTACTGTTATACCATCACAAGCTGTATAGTTCGTACGGATTCTGGAGTAACGTCTTCATCATCTTCATCCACGAACTTGAAGTAATTGCAATGGGGAGTGGGAGTCTTACTCTGCAATGCATGAGAATAAGTTAGTCGAAGAAGACAAATATTAATTTGACTACTAAAGAAGAAAACAGCTAGAATTACAAACTTACATATCTTGATGGGCAAACAAAGAACAAACGTCCTTCATTTCCATTCTCATTGGTTTTTACAATACGTATGGCAGCGGTTCTTCCACAATTGCACACTCTTGGTTGTAGTCTTATGTTGCTAATGTTAGAGGAAGATGCCATTTTTCAAAATCTGCATACATGACAATATTTTGAACCATGGTAGTTCCATAGAGGAAAAGGTGAAATCTGACTAAAGAGAACACCCTGTGGAGATGAAAATATTTGAACCATGGTAGTTCCTAGCAGTTTCAGGGATATACCCTTTCATTTCATTAATATTCTTCTACTTGGTTTGGTTTGGTTTGGTTTAGCTGTGGCTAATTGCCTAAAGAGAACACCTGTGGAAGAAGGTGAAATCTGACAAAGGGTGACAAAAAACCCACATGTAGCTCCTCTCCACACCCATTTATTCATATCATATTATCATTCATGCCCAGTTGGACATAAGTCATTTCACTGTCACATATCTGGTCCAGCTGCCAACCCTAACCCAACCCTCCCTCCCCTACTTTTTCTTTCGCAGTTTTTTTAATTTGTACTCAAATGAATGACGGAATCAGATACAATCTTCTTAACATGTAAGTGTTATAAAAATATATAATTCACTTAGCGTGGTAAGATTGTGTTCGATTCTAAATTCATCTCATAAAATAAAATAAAATTATATCAAATTCCGTAATCCGTTTCCAATTTCTCAACTATTTCTTCATTTCATTTCATTCATAATTGCCATCTCTCTCCTGTGTGTGTATGGAAGAGAGAGAGAGAGACACTCTGAGAGAGGACCCCTGAGGCGGCCTTTAAGTACCCATAACTTTCTCACATCCCATCCATCCATACTGTTATTTTACTATTAAGCACCCATAACTTTCATTCATAATTGTGATTCACTATTTGCAAAAATATCTATATTTCTATGAATAAATGAGTATTTACTTGTGATTACTTGAACACGAGAGTCTAGGGGTGGATGCAACAAGTTGAGCTTCCTATCTACTTGCATAGCACTTCAAACCAAGAGGAATTCTTTATCTACTTGCTTAATATATTCCTTCACCCACTTGATAGGTAACTGAATATTACTTTCCTCCTATCTAACTGAATATTGCTACAATGTATGATTTTAAGTAATGGTTCAGCTAAACCAAAATGTGCCATACTTAGATAATTACTTCAACTATCATATTGCCATAATCAGATAATTAGTTCAACTATCATTTCATACACAGAACAAACTAATTAACACTGAAAGCAAATACTCATGCTGAATTAGTTGCCATAACATTTCATACACAGAACAAACTCATTAACACTGAAAGCAAATTCAAAGCACAAATGAACACTGATTTTTTATTATTCATGTCAATGTTTCAGAGATTTGAAATCAAAGCCCTCATTTCTCAATCCCAAATCAAAGCCCTATTCAGAGATTTGAAATCAAAGCCCTAATTTCTCAATCCCAATCAAAGCCCTATTCAGAGATTTGAAATCAAAGCCCTAATTTCTCAATCCCAAATCAAAGCCTAATTCTCAATCAAATCAAAGCCCTATTCAGAAGATTTGAAATCAAAGCCCTAATTTCTCAATCCCAAATCAAAGCCCTATTCAGAGATCTTTGAATCAAAGCCCTAATTTTCAATCCACCAAATCAAAGCCCTATTTTCTGTTCGAATCCCTATTCGAATCAAAGCCAAATCAAACCAGTTTTTTCTGTTCGAATCTGACATCGAAGCCCCTAATTTTCAAATTTAAAACATATTTTCTCAATCTCAATCACACAATCCTAACATCTTCAGTTCAGAGTTTCGAATACTAACCTGCTTCCTCTATGGTCTCAGAACCCAGTTCCTGGAAGTGGGTCGCCGGTGCCGCCGTCTGGGGGACTGGTCGCCGGTGAGAGTAGATTCAGTGAAGGGGGACGAGTGAGTGGGAGGAGTGCAAGGCGGAGTGAAACTGAGGAGTGAGAGTGATTCTCATACTATAGCGACGGGCGGGAACGAATAGAATAGAAATCTGAATTTTTTTTTTTTTTTTTTTTAATCTCAGCCGTTGGATGTGCAACGGCTGATCTCAGCCGTTGCAAGGACGCATGCTCGTAAGTCTTTGCAAGGAGAGGATCTGAACTCCCTTCAACCACCTCATGATCTACAGCGACTAACTTCAACAACCACTTTTAGCCACCTCCACCACTGGTCATCCCATCCATCTCTGGCAAATCACAAAATATATTTCTCTATTTTGTTTTTATTTATTTTCAAAGTATATTTATATAACAAATAATTTTTTATTTTTGTTTTTTAAAAAAATAAAACAATAACTTGTTTTCTTTTTTTGAAAATATAAAATAAGTAACTTACAATGTTAACAAACAACCTAAGAATGGTGTTACACATGGAATATTCATCCTCTTTTTCTTTCTTTTTTTCTTTATCATCTTTTCACTTATAAATACAAATATTATCAGTAAAATTAGAAATTGTATAAAACATGATTAAAAAATAAATTTATTGAACAGGCACTTTAATGATACAGAATTTTACAAAACTCACAAAATTAGTTTATTTTCTATTCTTGAAAATAAAAAACGAAAATTGATAATGAAAACTGTTTACAAATTGTTTTTTTAAGAAGTTAGAAAAATTAACTGAAATCCCTCAATTGTTTAGGAAACACTTTAAATTTTTTTCAAAATTTTTAAAAAGTATTTTCGCAAGAAAATGAAAATGATAACGATACCAACTTGGTCTAAAATTTATATTGCTTTGGTTTTCAGAAAACACACACACAAATAAAAAAAATAAAAAATAACATCAAAACTAATAAATTTTATACCACCCATTATTTAAATGGATCATGTTTCAAATTTTAAAGTTTCTTTATTGTTATGACACTTATCACATAATTAAAGTGGATTAATTCTTAAATCTCTAAAATTTGTTGACGGTTAGTAAATAAATTTGTTAGTTTGTATAAATTTTATTTTCAAAATAAAAAATGATACAAAAGCAGCCACTTTATTTTGAAGTGGCTCAAATATGATTTTTTTTTTTTTTAAAGTTTGTGAAGGGTTAGTAAAAAAAAAAAATTAGCTGCATAAATTTTATTTTCCGTACAAAGGCAGCCACTTTATTTCGAAGTGCTCAAATCTAGATGGGTTTGGATTGGTTTAATTTTGAAAGATGAGTTTTTGAAAAGAACTTTTTTAATTTAAAATTTTATTTAATTGTATATTTTAAAAATAGTTTTATAGTTTAAGTTTTGTAATTTCGGATCATTGGCAGGTTTTTTTTTTTTTATGTGTAACTGAATAAATGAATGTGAGAAAAATAATTAATTGATGTGTAAGAGCATCTCCAACAATTCAGTAAAATTTTAACCAAATCTGAGTAAAAAAAAGATAATTTTCTCAATTTGATACAAACATCTCCAACCGTTCACTAGTGTGCATCAAAATGAAGGGGACGTCCGGTAGGACGACCGGCCGGTGGACCGGGTAGGCAACTCAAATTTTTTTTTTCCTCTCCCTTTCTGTTCCCAATTCGTTTATTATTTCTTTTTCCCTCCACAATATATTTTCCATTTTTGGTTGCCTCCAATAATGATTTCCTTCAAAACCTGATAGAAACACAGTATTCATGTACCATATACCAGTACCCACTTCCAACCATCACTGAAAATCCACTAAAATTCACACAGAAACTACAAACAAATGAAATAGAACAAACCCAAAAGAAAATTGCAAATAACAAATTGCACAAGAAATCCACTGGAGTCATGGGTTTGATTAGAAATTTGAATCCTCCAACATACATATCTATATATGAACACAAACAAGAGACAAAGATATGGGTGGTGAGTTGGATCTGTGAGAAGATAGCAGAGAGTCTAGTCTGGGTTTTTTTCAGCTATAACAGGTAAGTGAGAGAAAGTGAGAGATGATAATGATAATGATGATGGAGATGGGTATGAGATCGAAGAGAGAAAGTGAGTGTGAAGTAGTGAGAGCATAGAAAGTGGACCCAAGAAGTTACCCAATACAAACCAGTTATGTATGAAGCAGATTGAAGCAGCGCCGGTCGACCAGTGGGTCAACCAACTGGACCGGTGGACCCCACTGTAACGTCCTGTATTTTATTACTCAGATAATCTTACCAATATTCATTAATTAAGTTCATTTACAAATAACATTTTATCATTTGATGAAATGATGAATAATTAAATATACATACTCTCTCTCATTATACAATAATGACATTTACATACAAATAAAAGAAGTGCCCTGAGGCATACAATAAAAAAGATGACACTACTCTTTATAAAAAAAATAGCACTCAACCAAACAACAAATAAAGTAATACAATCCATTACTACATTACACTTATGAAATGGTAAAATTCATTGTTTGATCTTCAAATTCGAAAAGTATTTTCTGTACACATGTACAGGCAGGGGGTGAGCAACCACTAGCTCACCAAGCAATCTCATATTAAAACATTAGAAGTTATGCTGGTACCAAAATACTCATATATATACGTGAAATCATATCATGTCAAAACCATATGATTTTATTACATAATCTCTCAAATCCAATTTATTTAATTAACCACAATAAGTTAATTTAAATAAATAAACATGTTTCAATAGCAACAGGACATTCTTTTTAATTCATTCAATTATCTCATTATCAATTGAATCAAATAATTAAATAATTCATCAAATCCATTTTATACAGTCTTATGAGATGAACGCATATGCAATGTCATGCTCAAAATATTTTTCTCATCTTTTGAAAATCTTACGCACAATGCCAATTTGAAAGCACATTAATCTAACAATTTCAATAAAATTCCAATATGGTAAATACGATTCAGGTAATCCCTAGGCTGGTGTCTGCAAGTGGACTATACAAGTACTACCAATTTGTCATTTTTACCAGTATTAACTGGAAGGCTCGACACCTATCATCTACACCATATTTCAAGACTTATCACCTTATTTACCCCAAAATCATTTCATGAAAACTTGTTTCCCAACATTTATTTCTCAATGTAAAGTTTTCAAATCAAATTTCAAAACTCATCATTATCAAATGAATTGATATGCCAATGCAATATTTCTTCCACTTTCAATACTTCCACACAATACTCACATTGTGATCAAAATTCTTATTTCTCATTTCAATATAATTTCTCAAGATGAATATAAATACTTATACTCCAATTCATCCATGGGACAACAAAATTCTCACACTTAGAGTAATCTCAACCATTTAGTCACTTCAAGACTATATCAACATTTTTAACAACAATTTTCAACAATTCTCATATTCTATGAAAACTGTCATTTATATGTAAACAAATAAACAATTTTTCAAGCATCATTTATTTTGGCACACAAAATAAATATAACAACATCTTTAAAGATTGTCAACATCTTTCTTAAAAACTCCCAATTTCTAGGTTTTCTCATCAAAACCACTCATTTTCATTTATTGAAAGAAAGTCACCGAAAACATCTCTCTTCAATCCTGATAGTTCAAAACCCTCAATTTCTATTTTAAAAGGAACAAGAAAGTAAACTTACTTTCCAAAAAAATCTCTCATCTTCTTGAATCAACAATCAATTTTCAAAACAAATCAAAGGATAATTTCGAAAATCATCCAGATCTTGCAAAAACATATATATAATTATATTTCAACATAACCATTTTTTATGCCAAGCTTTTTAAAGAAGTAATATTTTTACCAAATTCTCTACCAATAACAATTTCACAACTTTTTCTAAAATTACTTAACCAATATGATATTTACATCAAAAATTATGAAATATGTCCAATAGTAACATTTTCAAGGTTATGAGTTTGAAAGTTCACATTTCATATTTTTATTTTCATAAAAATGAACACAACTTAATTATCAACGTATCATCTTTTATTAAATATCATGAATATAACACTTTTAGAGTTTTAATCCCAAAGCAACTCTATAATTCCTACTTAAACATTTACTCCATAGTCCTCAACATTAATTTATTTTTCTCAAAAATAAATTCCAAATCAAAGATAAAAAAAATAATTCAATTTATTTTTCTCAAAATAAATCATCTAATCATAATATGATGTAGAGGCAATCCATACAACTATTAAATTTTATTTTCAGATTTCTTTGCAAAATTATCATCACAAAATTATTTTTCCAAATCAATCTCAAAATGCCAACATTCTTAACATTTCAACATAATTTTTCTTCCAAAAATTACCAAACAAAAATCTGAATATATATATATATATATATGCAATACCTCTTATAATGATATATTTTCTCAAAATAACCCTACCATAGCTTTAATGTAAAAATATGAAAAAAAATCCCTACCTAAAATAATGACGAAAAGCAGATCTGAAAGGCAAATATTGTCCGATCATGAATCCAAGATTACCATTGCGAAGATCACGACGAGCTCTCTAACTTTCATTTACAACACTTTAACAAAATCTTGCTCTAAGGACTCCCATTTGAAACTCAAACGCTAAGCCAACAATGGAGGCAGAGAGAGAGAGAGAGAGACGGAGCTCTCTGCTCAAAAAAAAAAAAAAACAAAGGAAAAGAAAGTGGAAAAAAAAGGAAGAGAAAGGAAAAGTTTGATGGGGAAAAGGGAAGGGCTGGGGTGGGGGACAATCTACATAGCTCCTTACAATCCAACACCAAAAATTAATATATAATACATTGCAAAATATTTGAAAATTTTATAATATAAATTATAAATTGATATAATTTTTCTCATCACAAAATATAATATTTTTATACATTACAAAATATAATATTTTGTTCACTGCCAAAAATGTATCCAATTTCATTCTTTATAAAATATATAATTTTTCACTATGATTCCAGATCCTCTGCCATAGTTTCCTGCGGTGGTTCAACACAACGTCGTTTTGAACCACTTTTCTTTTCTTTTTTTTTTCTTTTTTTTTTCTCTCACTTCTTATATTTTGCTCTTCAGCCTCTTTTTATGGCTGGTGTTTGAACCCTAGTGAGACGAACAGAGAGGCGACTACAGCGAAAAAGGAAGAAGCAGCGATGAGGCGAGGGGAAATATATCTGTTTCTACAACAAACCCATCAAACTCA